CTGATCAATGATTCTCTCTCATCGTTGATGTTTCTCTCTCTCTATCCCTTCCTCTCTGAAATCAATAACACACACACACACACACACACACACACACACATATATAAAAGAACAGGGCTAAGCCACCAGACTCTTCAAGAGTCTGGAGTCCTTATTAATAAATGACACTTCTAGGAGTAGAAAACAGAATCCTTTCCAAATTCATTTATTCTTAATTAACTATGTGGCCAATGTCAAGCCTTAATGAAGAATTTCTGTAGAGAAAGTTTATTAGCTCACGAAATTTTTCAAAGCAATAATTTAATTTAATTCTGCAGACCTCACCTGTAGCCTTTAGCCTGGGTTTGGGCATTTTCTTTTCTTTTCTCTCAGGTTTGGACTTCTTAACCATCTTTTTGTTTTTCTTTTTTGAACTGCCATAGTCACTATCATCATCATCTTCCATTAGAAAATCTTCATCGCTGCCGGAATCTTCTGAGAGGAAAGAAGAATTTCAACGTCCAACTTAATGTATATATCCTTCCAAGTGAACAAAGGGAGAGAACGCTAAGAATGACTAGAGGATGGGATCTGGGAGTCAAACACTCTTGGACTCTATTTACAGCTATATTACCAGTTTGGTTGGAGTTGTCACTGGCCCCATCTGTAAAATGGGTTTAGCACCACATGAGGGATACATGACTGATTTGAAGAGTAGGTTGAAAACAGGAAGGGATGCCGAAACCTGTTTGGCTCAGTGGATAGAGCGTCGGCTTGCGGACTGAAAGGTCTCAGGTTCGATTCCGGTCAAGGGCATGTACGTGGGTTGCGGGCACATCCCCACTAGGAGATGTGCAGGAGGCAGCTGATGGATGTTTCTCTCTCATCGATGTTTCTAACTTTCTATATCTCTCACTTCCTCTCTGTAAAAAATCAATAAAATATATTTAAAAAAAAAAGAAAACAGGAAGGGATAAAACTTAATCTGAATGAAAACTGAAGCCATCAAGTAACTTTTGGGAATTATATCATTCCCATACAGAGACCAGGGAAATGAAACGGAATCAACTTAGTGTGTTTGATCCAACTATGAATAAATGAAACAAGAAAACTATTCATCTGAGTAACCTGTGAAACATCTGAATTCTGTTATTAACACTTTTTGTCAGGGGAGAAGGTCTACACCCTTCTCCACCAGGCCAAAATGCAAATCTTAATCACAACACCTGCCATGGAACTATTATTCTAACAACTGTTTATTAAGTATTTGAATACAAACAATGGACAGCAGTCATGATAACCTTTGAACCTTTACAAAATCAACAGATATCAAAGACCATCATCTCATCTAACAGTGAGTCATTTAAGGGACTGTTTGTAACATCTAGCATCCCCCCACCCCAAACACCAAAATAATCAAGATCACATACTGCAATCATGACCAAGGCAACAAGCCAACGTTACGTACTCTCCTGGAACTGTGCCTCGTCCTCTTCTTCCTGTTCTTCTTCACTGCCCACATCTTCCAAGAGCATCTCTCTCTGTTTAGAAGCTGCTTTAGAGGCTGCCTGCCGTTGCTGGCGCACATTTTTATGATCTTCCTTTTCATCCTCACTGTCCTCTGCAATATCAAAATTACGATGCACTGATCTAAGAGTTGTGTTTGACAACTACCTAAAAAAGCCAATGCAAACTAGCTCTGATTAAGAGAATATCTGCCAGAAAACACAAAGCCCAAAAGAAAATAAATGCATGTGGTCAAGTGTGATTTTATTCTGGAGCAGAGGTGCTGTAAGG